TGCGAGTAAACATAAGTGGAGTATAATTCTGATTCCCTCGACCCTTATCAATGGTTGTCCCAGCAATATGAGAGTTTTCCTCAGGCAATGAATGGAGTCCACTGGAGGCGAAATTTTATCTGGCCACACCGTCAGTTTCTACTGTTGTATAGACCTCAACACGGCACCCAATTGACATCATGCGTCAGAAACGCGTTCTTGGTCTAAATACAATGTTAATTACTTACCTCACACCTGTAATTAATATTTTTTCAACTTCTACTTCCTCCTCCTCTCTCTGGAGTTCGTAATTATAAAGAAAATTTTGTTAAAACTAAATTAGACTAACCAGATAAATATAAAAGTAATGCAGTACAGTTTTTGGCATAAGTGGTCTGCACCCACCAAATCTATCATCTGTTAAGGTGAGCACTGGCATAATCTTGCGTTTTGGTTGATACTGTTGCTTGTCTAGAGGGTTGGGCTCTTTTCTGTAGTCGATAAGGTGTTTGATCGGATAGTCGCAAAGTTTCTAGACTGCCTATGCCAATTACTTTTATCACTTCTGACATTCATAGGGCTTTCGATGCCAATTGTAGGGTCTTTAAGCTTAGTGGTAATGCAACATGTTTGGCAAATTTTTTTCAAACTGATCTATCCCATTTAAGGTTTTTACGACCTGAAAACTCGAAAGAGCAAGTTCTACCATTGTTTAGACAATATGCGCACAGCAGTCTCGAGTCTCCCAGTCGAGAATAGATATATGCAAAACGGACATCATCTTTTCAATGAGCATGCAAAACACACTTAACAGATCCTAAGCAGCCTGTTTCAGTACCCTGGCAGCTGCTGCAGTTACACGATGAACGGCTATCAAGCAAAATGAGGACCATTTTCGGAATCCGCATGATTACCCCCCGTGCCATAAGATTTCAATATGAGTAGCAATATTTGGAATTATTTAGTTTTAACAAAATTTTCTTTAATCAATTCCGAACTCCAGAGAGAGGAGGAGGAAGCAGAAGTTGAAAAAATATTAGTTACAGGTGTGAGGTAAGTAATTAACATTGTATTTACACCAAAAACGCGTTCCTGACGCATGATGTCAATTGGGTGCCATGTCGAGGTCTATACAACAGTTCAGTTTCTTAAGTTTTGCCACTCTGTAGTTGACTTTTATTACTTCATATCTCTTCATCTTCACGGAGTATGTCTCTCCAGTTCATCTCAATGTTTTCCCATATCCGCCTCTAAAATCCTAATTTGATTGTCTTAGGTTGCATTCATGATTTACTCATGCAAGAAAGACGGACTTTGCTTTTAAAGCGCTAATTGCAGCTCGAAAACCGGTAAAAATAAATAGATTCAAACAAAAACAGCTGTTTGCAGCTCGAAGCAGCTGAGATAAGCTCAGAAAAAGTGAGCGTAACTCAGCTGCAAAATCTAGAGCAGCGCTGATCAGCACAAGCAGCGCTGCTCAAAAATGAGTCGCTAGGTATGGACATGACTTTTTGCGTTAGCTGCTGCAGCGTGAGGCAGCAGCGTCACTCCGCTGCAATTGATACGCATCAAATACGTTGCTGCCACCGCTACGTATAGACATTCGACGCCAGGTATGTATCAAGCCTTAGAGAAACAACACACCATTCGTTTCCAAGAAGTCAGAAAGCCTTAAAGGCACCGTCCACCCTAAGTTGAGGATGTTGAGCTTTTAGCAGCATGTAATAGTAGGGCCCCCTATCAATCCAGTGCCCAAGTCGCGGCGCAAAATGCTGCTTCGAAAGCGAGAAAATCGCTCCAAAATAGCGAAGATGCACATAAACCCCCATCCATGCCGGCCCCTCCCCATCCATGCCCGCCCACCCGTGCGCGCCCAGCCAATCACCGTTTCGGAAAGCCGGCTGAGGGCCTTCCGGAACGGGGATTATTGGGGTTTTCGCGGATTCTTGATTTTATAATCGGAATCAGGGACACGAGAAGGCTCCGGAACGATCAAAACATAGAACTCGAGAATCTGGGTGGACGGTCCCCTTCCTGATCGGTTCTTTTGCTGTGAAAGGAGTGAAAGGAGAAAGGAGCGCCTCGCACTGCCGACCGACTACAGGATGGTTGATAACGTTATTTGCTTGCGATTTCTACGTTAAGTACTGCTCCAATACACCATCGGAACAGGTCAGTGCTCCAGACTGCTTTCTTGCAGGAGTGCGCCATGCGAAGACGTCATCACTGCTAGTGCAGAAGCTAATGTCACCGCCTCTTACGAGGAAGCAATAAACCAAAGCAATAAACCAGCTACCGCTGAAAACGTCAGTTACCGTTACAGTCTGCCCCAATCCTAACCAGGCCAAAATTGGCATGGCGGGAGTCCGCGTCGCTAGAGTTTCGCGGTCACGCCCACTGCCTGCTTCTCTTTTCTCTCTTCGATCCTTTGGCTCTCTCCGTCAGAGCGCATATGCAGCACAGGCCGTTAACGCTGCGAGCGCGAAAATTTACGTCGACGCTCCGGCCTGATCCCAATTGGAGCAGACTGTAGAAAAGTGCATGCTATGGAAAAGGATGTGCCACTGGAGCTGCTCAGGTGCCTTTAAATAGGACACTGGCCAAATGCAGTCTCCTTCACGCCATTGTTTACCCCATTTTCAAGGATATAAGCCGCAGGGCATTATTCTTCTAAGATCGGCCAGCCCAAGCACGGCAAATTCGCGACCAAAGGACTCTACACCTACCCAGCATTGCCTGAGAGAATCGTGCGGCACAAGGATTGCTTTCCGAAACATGTGGAGCGGTTGGGCAGCTTGCTTAGAAATTCGAAGATGCGGCTTACACACCAGGAATTAGGGTAGTTATAGAAGCCACATAAGAAACTGTTCACCTACACTGGATGCATTTTCTTTGGATCGTGATACTCGCTTGGGAGGAAGAATTCTTCGCATGCTGCACGATATACCCTAGTCCGGATGAGGCTGCTCACTCGCATCTATGGGACCGGTCATACCATTCTTGTGATTCTTGCAATTCCTGCGATTACTGTGATTGCTGCGGGTCCCGTAACAATGTATATTGCGAAAAACAATGCAGAAACTCGCAAAGCGCTCCATAGTGCGGAACATCGGAGGCCGAGGAATCACAAGAATTGCAGGGATCACAGGAGTCTCAAGAATCATTTCATGGAAGTATGGCCGGTCCCTATGTTTACTGGCATGTTATATAGGCTGTCAAGAAGATTGTAAAACACTGTCAGGAGTGCCAACTTGTCACTAAGAATCCCGTAAAAGCTGAACAAACTCATGACGATCGCAAATGCCTGCATACCGACTTCGTTGGACCGCTCTATGGACACGTGTACCTCGTCGCCGTGGAAGCTTATTCCGCTGGCCGGAAGTCGTGAAATTGCAGTCCAAATCACTAGCTACTACGCAGGAACTTCTAAGTTTTTCAGCAGATATGGGTCCCCGGAAACGCTTGTCTCCGAGACAACGTACCCAATTTCCTTCCCAGTTTTTCGAAGATTTCTAAGGAAGTACAGGATTAAGCATGTTCAAACGCCGCCATTCCACCCGCAGTCGAATGAGTTTACCGAACGCTTTGTCTGAATCCTTAAGATAGGACTGCAAAGCTGCAAAGCGAGGGGAATCTTTCGGAAGCCTTGTCGAAGCTACTGCTTTGCTAATGTTGTACGCTCTGCCCCTCTGCGCCTGATAATCGTTGCCTGCCCGAAATGTTTCTTGAACACTAACAGTCTACTTTTGGTCACTGAAACTGGGAAGGCCACACCAACCCTGTCCCCCGCATCAAAACCGGCGATGGAAGCTACGTGCGACAGCCGACATGGAGCCAAAAAAGCTAAAGGCTGCTGCATGACGAAGGCGCAATGGCGATATTAGTTGAGCGTGCGCGAACACGACACGCGCGTATCCTCACCGTTGTAGATCCCGCACCTCATGCGCTCTGCGGTTAATAAAGCCGCGTTCACGCCCGCAGATATTGCGCCTTCGTCATGCAGCAGGCTATAATTCGAAGTTCGGTGCGATCTACGCCCCCGACTACCGCAAACCATCGGAGCCTACTTGGACTCCAGGACGTGTACGATCAAGTAGTGGACGCTTTCTGCATTCGTAAAGAGACACTGTACCAATCAGTTGCGTCCTCGCACAGTTCTCCAAAAACCAGCACGCCGTCAAGAGAGTTCGACCTTCTGGATTTTAAGCTCCCTAGACCGTCACCCGTCGTTTCCGTTGAAGTTCCCGCTTCCCAAGACGCCAACTCACTGATGGAACACCGCCAACTCCGCTATCGCCACCGCCAGTGCCGAATTTACAGTGGCTGACGTCTTCGCCACTCTACCGTCTCCGTCGCAGTCGCAAAGGACACATTGACCACCACACCGTATTGATGGACCCACCAAAGAAACGATAAGTTGATAACTTGAGTGAGATTTCAAGGAGTCACTGTATCTGTGTTAATGCCGCGGCCAAAGGCAAAATGCCCTTTTTATGAACAATCTTTGGCGTTAGAACGTTCATCTCAGGAATGCATCGCAGGTGACCAGTATCGTAAGATTTATGGCTGCAATCTCCATAATGGCAAGCACGATGTGCGTGACCAGAATGTGTCGTTTGTGTTGTCCAACAAACTATGACGAATCCAAACGCAAATGAATTTCACCTCAACAAAAATTCGGCTTCGTATTTATTGGGTTATGACTGAATAATATACCTACTCATCCTAGTAAGTGGAAGATCGCGTTCGTACTTTTTTGAATGTCGTAATAAAACGAAGAGAAAATTTAGGAGGGACTAGTGAACCAGTAAAGGTGCTATTTGCAAGAGCTAGACCGCCACGCGGTTTCCCGCTATTTGCATATTTTGAATTGGGCTTATGATTTTTTTATATATTAGATTAGATATGAAGCATGACCTGGCATCAATCCAACTAACTATGCGACCAGCTCTCTCCAAAAAACTGTGAGTTATTTGAATGCAGGCCGCTTGCGGACTAGATGTTTGCCATTACAAAATTACAAGGGGAATGCAACAATTTATTAAATCTTCAACAGATATAAACCGCTTTAGAATTATTCATTTCAGAAAGTATCTAAGGAATACATTCCGCACCGAACAATCATATACACATAAACACCTAAAACTTCACATCTATTTTAAAATATAGCTTAGCTAAAAAGTGAATCCAAGAGTCGAATATATGATTCACGGACCATAAAGCGATGCGTGATACAGCAGTGTTAGGTGAGCAATGTTGATCTTATGTACAGAAGAAGAATATTGAAAGAATCGCGAAAAAAAGCGAAAGCAGCTACCAGTTCGAGAGACCCGGCTTATTAAGGGTCATGAAATAAATTTGGCAAGAACCGCCACCCTTCGCTGAAGAGAAGAACACCTAAAAATTGGTTTTTGAAGAGCTTGTTCAAAAGCTGTCAATCATCAGCATCATATTCGTTTAAAATTACAGGGAAGAGGGAAAATTTCCATAATTTCAACCATATAGGGATCTGAGTATGCTGCGCCGTTACAATCGAACCAGCACAGTGAAATCGGGCATCGTCAGCGACCATGTCTCTGTGCCAATCCGCTGCAGCGGTGTAAAGTGAAAGTCGCAGGACTCGAGCACTATGTTCAGTACCTACACCTGCTAAGCGATAAGGATAGCAAACCATCCCACGCCATACTCTGAGCTCTATGAATGCGGTTGTAAAAAACCGAAAAAAAATAGAAAGCTCATTATGAAATGTTATATAACTTGTGCCAATAAGAGGTGGATAAGAACAAAAGCGCATGAGCGATTGTAAAAAATGACAAAAGAAGTTAAAAAACCACTGAACTCACCTTGTCATTACGCTCACACAAAAACTTGAGCTTTTGCGCTTTCTTATGCATAAATACACCATCTAGGTGACCCGTATCGACCGAGCGGATCTCAATTGCTTTATTTCCCCAACCCATTATTTGCCCAGTTGAGATGTAGGCTGGAAGGATGAATAGTCGGCGAATATGTGAATGTACTGTCACAGTTGAACTCACCAACACTGCTGGGCATCTCTCCCCATTGTAACACGACATTCTTTGACATCTTTCCGTAAGTATTGACATAAACACCCTCATCTGCAAAATATACATGATAGCATATCTGAACGCACAGGAAACAGAGTCCAAACGATCCCTAATTTAATCGAACACGAATGAACATACTGTCGTAGCAAAGCAACAGTTGCATTCCATTACTGTTCGGAAGCACAACGATGCAGTGTGGCACCATATTTTGCTGTGGCTAAAAATAACCATGAAGCAAGATCTAGAGCGGGAACTGGTGATAAAAGTATTACAACTTACATTAGGAGGAGTGTAGATATCATATATCGCAGCTGAGTCAAGGTCAATGGCGTGAAATCCTTCATGTGAGCCATATAGCACTTTGAGACGAGCGTTATCTTCTACCGTCAAATCAACGATCAGTGGCAAATGAGATAATGATCCGAAAGACTAAAACAGACAATCAAGTGAATGATGTACACGCACTGAAAGAGTGAGCTTTCCTATGATCTACGGGTAACTACCTTGAAACTCATGAACTTGTGATATGGCTTAGGTGCCCAAGCATATATTTCAATGCTGTTCTCTAAGCCAACAACTAAGAACTTGATGCGTTCGTAGCGAACAATTTTGAAGTGGATTGCGCCTTGTAAATCGCCAACATTCACCCATCCATTACGCTTCTCCGCTGGTACCCCTGATGCAGAGCCCTAAAAACCACAAGTAAACTTAGAGCTTTGCCTTACAGAAACTGATTACTTCGGTTCTCAAAATTTTCTGCTTCAGCCAGCTTAGATAGTACACTCTTATTCTCCGCTTTCTTCCAGAAATTGTGATAAGTATATTTTGTCCTTCCAGTACAGCCATTTGCTCAAAGCGACGTCGGTTTATCAACTGATATACTAAATTAACCCAATTAATCATAAAAATTCCAGGAAAGCGACTGAATAGTACTTGTGTCAACTCCATACCTTTGCCTTGGCCACTACGATCCAGTAGCATAAGACCACTGTCGGTACCTATCAACAAATTGACACCCCATAATGCAGCACATAAAATTTCTCCACTGAATTTCTTCTTATACTTCCGTATTTCAGGCGCATCCGACTCCAAGTGCGCTCCGTTTTGAGAGCTTGGGTTTACATTGACCTACAATAGACATCGTCAGACCAGAACGTGTAGAGGAATCTTTTCCACGAGTAACGACGACAGAAAAGGTTAACTAAATTTCTGGATTGAGAAATACCTGCACATGACTGGCATCTTGTGCTCTCCCAGGACGATTCACAGTGCCAGCTCCCAACACGGCTCCTGTACCGAAGAATCCGACAAACGACTTTTCCCGATCTCTCGATGTGAGTGGTTGTTGATGCAAAGCAATTTTCGATCCATTAGTGCATGCATTTGCCACTCTTTCGGACTAAAACAGCACGAATTTTTTTATAGTGCGTTAACAAACAAAAACTACAATGACTTTCTTCTCTTAGCTATCTTAGCTATGCCAAGTGAAATAGTAGATTCACGACAAAAATCACCTCTTCGACAGGGGCATCACATATACGTTGTTCATCAAATTTGTTGGCATCACGAGTTTTGGGCAACAGATCTGGCAAAGCCAAAGGAGCATTACAGCGGGAAGAAGAAACCTGTAAGTACTCTATTGAACAAAGCCTTCGACGATTCTGTTCTCAAAACTAAGAGCAAAAAAAGGTGTTGTTCGCAGAACAGTTTGTTATGGAAGTGTACTTAAAGGCACCGTCCACCCAAAATGGAGGTTGACGAGATTATGATGGCATACTAGTGTGGGCCCCCACACTAGGCAAACCTCCAAGCTACTTCGCAAAAGACTGCTTCTGGAGCGAGAAATCCGCCCCGGAAGTAGCAAAGTAGGCGGGGCGATCATGGTCGCCCCGCCCACTTGCATGCTTTATCTTGCCTGCGCTTGCTGCAGAGGGTTCTCGAAACAGGGATTTTTGGGTGTTCGCGGATTTCCGACTCCATATTCGAAATCAGGGCCTTCAGAAGGCCTGGAATCGACAAAAGCATGGAAGTCGAGAATTTGGGTGGACGGTGCCTTTAAGAGATTTTCAGTAGGTATCTTATATCAAGATAAACTAACAGTTGGGAGAAGAGGATTGGTGGCCGATGATCGCCGTACAGAAGCATGAAGCTCGTGAACATCGTCTTCGCTTTCGGATGAGCTTTCACCCAAACCAAATTCCGTCGGAGGAGTGCTGGAGGATTGCTGTAATGCAATAGTTGAGGAGGTACATAGAAGGTCCAAAAATTCATAAGATCTATAGCGTGAGGTAGCTGGATGAAAGCAGTGATCAGATCAAAATGGCTTCTCACATCAGGCATACTAGCAGCCTTCACCATGCTAGGTCTCAGTACGACGTCCTTGTTCCTTTTTTGAGGGGGAAGTGTGTCCTGATTAGAGATGTCGGATGGTGGTGAGCCTCCCGTTGGTGTTGGAGGTAAAGGCTTGTTGGGACCACGCAACGTTCCTCCTCCCAACGAGTCCTGAACGAACTCACATAAAAAAAGAAACTTGGTACAGAAATTAGGTGACTATAACTAAACATAATTTCCTGTACTTAAAAATACGAGTAAAGAATGAAATTTTACTCACATCATCTTCATCGTTGACGCTTGCGATGGAAGCATCACGCGGCGGTGGTGCAGGAGGTGGAGGAGAAACGCCACCACTGTTTCCTGTAGAGCCACCCATTCGCGATAATTCACAAGCAAGCGCATCCAGATCCTAGGTTAATAACATTGAATAATCACATATTCCGAAAAATCGGGGGATAGCAGAGTGCTCTTGTGGTTTATTGAGCTTAAGATGAGCGCAATAACTAAATAAGAGCATCTGTCTCCTTCACAAAAACATGCACCTTACTTCGGGCCTAGATTGTTGTTGATGGAGCACCGGCTCACTCAGTTTGCGCAATGGACTGGCTATGATGTTTGCCGCTACACGAGCAACTGGCATATCGTTTCTATGACCTGGAAATATGGATAGCAGCACGGTGGTTTGTCTTGGAATTTCAAGGCTCACTCAGACGCTCATTAGCGACACTTCTATCCCTCTCTCTACCTTCCCGTTCAGACTGTCGGCGCCTATCATAGTTAGCAAGATCTGCGAGATGAGGAGCAGCTGGATGAGATTGCAATGGAGAGCGCTGTAACGCCCGGATTTTTCCCCAAAAAAGCATTCAGATCATGCTACCTGATGGTGACTAGCCGGTCGCTGGCGTCTTTCCGCTTCCCTACGACGATCGCTCCCTGCTACGGGTCGATTTACCGCAGCTTGCGCACGGATCTTAACGGCTTCCTCACGACTACGACCGTCGGCTCCATACCTGCAAATATGAAACTTTCGAAGCACTTCCAACATTAAAGAAAATTGTTCTCGAACTGAATCTATATTCTATTCTGCTGTCAAGCCAAATTTACATATTCAGATAGCGGGTCATACATATTATGGCCTTTTGATTACAACAAAAGCAACAAACCTAAACACATGGTGGTGAGGGCTTCCAGTAGGTGGCCGTTCGTGTCCTGGTATATTCGTAGTTACTCTTTTCAGCTGCTGAGCGCCAGCGTACTCGAAAGCGCCTCGACTAGCCTCTTGAATTCGTTGAAAACCTTTTCTCAAGGTGTTGTCAACCGGGATCATCGATGCTGCTTCCGAGTCTATAAAAACATAAGAACGTCAAATGCCGCAATCGCCTTCATGAACACTACACAATTGATTGTGAGATTGAAAAAGCAAAAATTCGAGGAAAGCAAAATAAACAGTAATAAACGTCGTGATGAATGGAAAAAAGAGACAGACCATCGCGATGAGAAAGAAGAGGCTTTGAATGGTTTGGTTCATCGTCATCGCTGCCCGAGTACTCATATTCCGTATCATCTAAATAATACAATGAAAAACGATTGGTTGTATTGCACAAGGAAAAAGATTCCAACAAGGCAGAAAAAATGATGAGAACCCCTCGCTAGAATTAAATGGGAAGAACAGAACAAAACTTTGAATGAGATGTAGGGAAGATACTGATCTAGAAAAAGCATTTCGATGATCGTACTACACTTATGTGGCCGTACTTGCTCACAACTGATTGGTGACCGCCACAATATGGCCTGATTATAGTGGATGTGCCTCGAGAGCGATATCCCTCATAATTGTCAAGTGGGTTCTCTCTTATTAACGTAATGTCCCGACACTACAGTCTCAGCGGTCAGTGAGGTTGAGAATTGTAAAACCAATGTAGTTCCGCATAGTGTGCATTGCACCAACAAAATCGATACTATGCATAAGAAACAAATCAATGATGCACATGAGACTACATAATTGCAAACTGCTCACCTTTCTTGTTGATACGACGGTGCCTATCGATGTGATCTTTGATTGAGATTCTGATGCTCCTCTCAGGAGGCTGATCCCTGATGAAGGGATGGCGGAGAAGCTGATCAGTGTAGGGCCTCTGCTGATAATCCTTCACGAGCACAGTTTCTGTAAAGAGACAGTAGTTCGGATTTCGAGTTCAGAACGAAAAGAAGCAACATGTTGCAACACGGTGCATACGACCGTTCAGAATTATGCGCTAGTCATGCAGATGGCAACAAGCTCTAAGAAGGAACGGAAGCTTCCTACAGAATAATGAAGTCGTATTATTTACTAAGAGGATTACCAAGCAACGATAAATGTATTGCCTAGAGACTGCCAGAAAGTAGAAGGTTGTTCCCAAAATTTCCACAGCCAAATTTCCCCTCTTACGAATTACCGGGAGCCGAAAAGCGTGCTTAAGAACGCGCTGATGTCGAAATTCTCCTTTTCACGTTGGTGAGGATGTCATAGCCAATCGGCCTATGGCCCTAGGAATGCAAACTAGCGCTCCGCCTGATCGTAAAGTGACTAATCGGGTCCGACATTCCCACTTCAACATTTGCTACGTCCGAAAAGACAATATTCTTCATAAGCACTCATTTACAGCTTTGCCACCTCATTCTCAAAAGTATAAAAAAGGAAAATCAAAGTCAAAAATCGGCCCGAAGTTATCTTGGAGTTTGGCGAGTCAATACTAAATGAAAAAAAAACATACGCAGGTTAAAAAACTTTACCTATGAACGACTCAAACTTCTTAGTCCACTTCTTCGATCGTTTCAATCGAGGAGGCGGATTACGTGGAATGAGAAATAGAGCTCGCATGGGATGCATGTCACAAAGTGGTGGATGACCCTCGGCCATTTCCAGAGAAGTTATACCTGAAATGAAAATGTCGCTCATTTCGGTGATGTTCTATTATTTTTTGTTTATAATACGAGAACAATGTGTCAGTCAAGATTTCTTAGAGTGTTTAATGTTTACTGTGCAGAAGTTTTTGACATTTTAGGAGAAAACTAGGAAAAATAAGAAAGTGAGCGAAAAAGAGACAAGATGGAATGTTGTCGGCCAGAGAACGGGAGACAGCGCAGCACTGCATTCAAGCAAAAGCTCGATTAATTGGCAATGCTATAGCATACAGCGCTGAGGACAGCTCTCCGCCTACGCCAGATCAAAAGAGATACACTTCTCTCGCAATGAAATTATCCAATCAAAACTCTTCGAAATTACGATTACCTAGAGACCATAAGTCTGAGCGTGAATCGTAAGTCGCTTCCGGATTTTCGTCGCATGCGATCACTTCAGGAGCCATCCTAGAAAAAATCTTTCTGGACAGATTCATTCGTAGTAATCAAATCTAAAGATTTCCTCTCACGAGGAAACGATACTTGGTGTCCGTGGCCTTTTGAGATAAGATGTATACAGTTATACTCATCTTGGAGCGCTGATTCCGAATCTGACTTCCGTTTCTGCTAATCGTTTCTCTAAAAGAAATTACGAAGGATTTTTGCGTTAAAGGAGAGTGTTCGGAATGCCAGAACCGCCACTAAGATGTGGTATAGTGGCTAGTGCGATAGCCTCGCAACTTAATGTAGGCTTAGGTTCGAGTCCTTTTGTATTTTTCAGTTTTGCATTGCCTCAATCAAGCTTCTTTTTGAAAGTTAGGCATCCTCGGCCACATTTCTCTTAGGCGACCATTGACACGAAAATCCTTCATAACTTCTTTCAGAGAAACGATTAGCAGAAAGGGAAATCAGATTTGGAATCAGCATTTTAAAACGAGTGTGACGGTATACGTTTCATCTCAAAAGGCCACGGACATCAAGTATCGTTCCCTTGTCAGATCTATATGAGTACTCAAATTAGCTTCCTCTTCGCTCAGATCAATCAAATCAAAGAAACCTATAGATTACAGAACAAAACACTCACCAGTATGGAGTCCCAATGAAGGTATTCCTTCTTCCAACTGTTTTGTCCAACTGTGCAGAAACTCCAAAGTCAACAAGCTTCACCTCAGCGTTATCCGTAAGTAGTACATTTTGTCCTTTGATGTCTCGATGAATGACCTTATTTTGATGCAAGTGATATAGACCCTAAAAGTAGCATGATGAAAAACAGAAATTTCGAACGAAGATTCTGAAGTAAAGTTAAACATTAAACAAATATATTTTTACATAATCTTTTACCCACTGTCAATTTTTCTCAGAACAAGGCTGCTGGGGTACCGCGCTGCGAAAAGAACAGTAAGCAGACACCACTTCACCAAAAGGGTCTTTATATTGAAAGTAAAGTATGCTTCAAACATTTTCTTAGTATTCCTTAAAATTGTTGCGCAAACAATTCCACTTACACTTACTCGAACCCACACATCAAGACAGACACTAACGCTAAAAGCGGCTTTCTTTGATGCATTTCTGGGAAGCAAGTTTTACTCAAATTGAAGAGTTAGAAGCAGCTTCTTGAGCTGCTTTGCTAACAGTGGAATGGCCAGGAGTCGAAATGGCCATTCCAAAAATGAGTACGTACGAATTGCTGAGTCTGAGTTAGACACATGGACCTCTTCCTAGCTCCTCTTCAGGCGCCGACTCTAATGAAGCAGGTTATCCATATGTTCTGGCCCAGCATTACGCCGAACATAAATTGATATGCCAAACTGCACAAACTGCATGCGCGAATTTTGCAGTTTAATGGTTTTTTACTTCGTCTACAGCGATGTACAGTAGAAAAATCAGATTTGGAATCAGCGTTTTCCATGTCGCGTCTAATAGCATGCAGCCTGGTGGAAATAGACGCTTCGAGTTCTGATTCTTTGTAAATTAAAATCAATGCAACTGTTAGGCTGGGTTCATACTGAGCCGCACAAAGCGGCACAGTTCCAGCACAGCGCTCGAACTGTGCTTGAAGCTGAAACTGTGCCGCTTTGTGCGGCTCAGTATGAACCGAGCCTTATGATGCTCATAAAACAACTTACTTGAATGTGATTCAAAACAGTAAACTGGTTTAATCTGATCTTAGTTTTTTTTCAAAATTTTCCACCAAAACTCGAGATGCCTAGCAGATTCTGCCAATGCTTCCACAATATCAAAAGGAAAACTGACTCTTAAGATTTCGCGACAGATGTAAGCTATCCAGTCTTCCTTGATTGAAGATGCTTTGCTGCTCTTCACGAGATCGGTAACAGATCCACTTCCACAGAATTCCATAACTAGCCACAGTTGATCGTGTTTTCCAGTTGATGAGGGCAATTTTTTGATGAAAGCACCATAGTAAGTGGCGATATTTCGATGATAGGAGTACTGAAATGATACAAAAACGATAGAAGGAATCCACATTTATTTCAAGGAATACACATTTTAAATTGCACTCATGATCCTAACAATTCATTTCGCAGAAACAATGATGAGGTAAGGCGGGTCATGCTTAGGTAGCAGCACACCGTGGGGATTAACAAAAGGGTAATAAAAGTCAGGAAAGGATGATCACGAAAAGATGAGCCGAGCTAATGCCCTTGGACTTCCCTTCACTTTTATAAAATTCTGCATTTCCGAAGTATTTGAATGTCATATTGCGCCGTATATGCACAAGTTCGACTATTCAAAATGCGAGCCCTTCCTTAAGTAAGGAGTAATTAAATTAACTGAAGATCGAGCCTTGCTTTCGATGAGTAAGATACATCATTCGAACCTAGTAACCGAATAAATGCAATGAAAGAAAAATTAATGCACCTACACCAACACATTTGTCGGTAAAGTCTTTTCAACGTTACAGTCTTTCACAAAGAACTAAAAAAACTAATGATGCTATGATTAGCCTCAGCCAAAAGATGAGAAAACACCATCAAAACAAAACTCACCTTTTTCAGCATATTTATCTCAAGTTTAATTTCTTCTTCCTCATCTTCATTTATATTCATGATCTTGATTGCAGCAAGTTGTGAAGTTTTTACATGACGGCCCTAGAAGTGAAAAAGCGTCAAGTCCGCAACAGTTCCTTCTTGGCAGATAGAAAAGATTGCTTAGTTTGCGTGATGAACAAATCGACTCTTAACATGAGTTGCCCAGATCCGATATCGCAATATTCGTTCTAATAACAAATCTGGCCGGAATATTCGGTCAACTGCTTCAGACAGATGTTTGCCTGATGACTTACTCCAGCCAGTGCCCCAACAACAACGACCCACATCCGCGATATAGCTAGGCAGTTTATGAACAAACAGATTAGCATAAAAGTGGGAAGAGTATGCATATTCATCTTGTGTGATGCGATTTTTTATAGTTCTTCTTACTATAACACCTTGTCAAAACAGCCACCCGTTTCTACTATGCAAGGCAAAGCAGCAGAATTTCCAATTGCACTCGATAATATCAAATATTGAACAAATGTTGAAGAACAGTTATGACAAAATGATGCTCGATTGATGAACGGAACAAAAGTTGACTGCTCGCCAAACACATACCTTGTATACTTGCCCGTAAGTTCCGTTGCCGACTACTTCTATGAGTTCAAAAATACCGGCCGGATCCTTCAAAAAAGAGAATAATGTAAGTCGAATAATAACCAATGTAAATTATGAACCTTGAGCGTATTGAGATCAATCTCATCGAGAACACCAGGGTTGTGACCCATGGTGGCGATAAAGAGTCACACAAGTCGGCTGGAAATATGTAAATCAGTGTGAATCGACGATGTCCACACAAGTCGCATCGTAATGTCCGAAAACGATTCAAACTACGTTACGTTAACACAACTCGTGAAGCAACTCCATTAAGACATGGGAGAAGAAATCAATTGAGAGCTAACAAAAACACTATGACTCAACAACAAGCGAGCAACATAATGCGATTAGCAAAGTTCATGAAGTAAAGCATCCTTTACCAAATGTTGCAGATGACCGCTAACAGCATCTATCCGACTTCGACTGTTCTCACACAGATTCGGGTGTACCGTAACTTGATGATTTTTAGCCGCGTAGCAAAGCAGCAATTGTTGGTAGCTGGTGAGCAAGGCCACAAATTTTCCAATTTTGCCACCAAGCTTTGTTATGAATGCAAAAAAGGCTGACACTACAGTAGCGCATACATAGGGGTGGTTCAAGACATTTGAAAATCGCCTTGGAGAAGTACGCAAATCGGATGATAAACACTACGGCTGCGTTCATGCTGATCCGGAAGTTCGGGAACAGTTCCAGCACAGCGCTTAATTCGAGCCTAACTCGAACTTCCGGATCAGTATGAACGCAGCCTACCAACGCATCAACTATTTCCTCCGCTGACTGTCCATTCAAAAGAATCATCCCCGCACACCTTTGAACTCTCCCGCCTTTATCATATCGCTATTCAAACAAGGGAAGAGAGAATGCAGCGGCCTACACACACTCATGAAAATTCAATCGCTGTTACTCACATGCGAGATACAGACGATGATGACCCAAGAAGTACCCACTCTATATCATTCGCAACCTCTTCAATTAGAATCACTCAACTCAGGATGGAAATCGTATTACTGTGTGAGGTTTTTGAATCTTTACAATTATATATGTGAACAACAATGCATCAGTGTAGATTATGTTACGTTTCCTAGAGGCCAAAACAACAGATTTTTAAGTAGCAGAGTTTTCGCTGAAATGGCATGCAGATACGATTATTGTCGATGTGTCAGCTGCACCTAGGAGTTCTACTTGTTATGCTGCATGTAAGCATCAATGGAACTGTCAGTTTACACCACCGAATAAATGGGGATGTGGTACCATATGTTAATAGTCACTTTTGCACTTCGCAAGTTTTTGAGAGTAATCATAGCGGGGATTCGACCTGTTTTCATGTATATTTCCGAATAGCTTAGCAACTGAAAAACAAAAACTCAACTCAGTGTCTAAAATGAGAGAACTGTTAATGGAATATTCCTCAACAAAAAATGTGCCTTAGTGAGTTTAGGTTTCGGTTTTTCTCAAATTAAAAAAAACGCGACAACAACTATTTTCCCCGTTTGACAGAATTTACAAATACCAGGAATAATATCAAAACTTTGCCCTTTCGGGCAAAACTTTCGCCTTTTTCAAAAAAAAAACTTAGGAAGTAAAGCTTCAAAACGATAAGGTGCAGCCTGAGGAGTTATCAGTGAAATCAAAAGCAACTCTAATTACGTTATCTACAGCAGACAAGTACAAAATATTCGTTATAATCAATAAATATAACCATCAAACCCCCATCACCCCGCAAAAATAACCACACTGTTTATGAAAAGGGAATAAATCACAGTATTTATGCAAATCGGTTACTGCATTCCATCCAAGCTTCAGCTAGTTACCACCAATTTGTCCAGATGTTATATGCAACAATTCGAAGCGCACAATTTGGAGCGAAGAGAATATAGGACAAACAGTGTAACGAAAATAAGGGCAAAATCAAAAGTACAAGAAAAGTGGGGGAATTCATACGCAGATGAAGACATTCCGTCACATACAACAAAACGTAATGCGAATTTTATAGAGCCAATATCTGTAGGCTTTGCAGCTGCAGAAAGGAAGATGGCACTTTATTTGTGCGAAAAAAATGCAATTTTGCCAATAACCTCAAAAGTTAATGATACTGTTTTGATGTATGATGTTTCGTGACAATGAAAAAAGTAGTGAATTGTCTTTTTCTTTCTAAGACAGGCAGGAAGGTTCAGGATTAGCGAAGATAATGGGCACAATGTCCTTAAAATCTTACAATGATAAAATAGTCCAAAATATAAGCTTTGAGAATTGCGAGTGAATAAAAAATCGCGATTCCGCGCCTGATGCAGCTCGAATTTACTCTGCTAGTAGGAACATGGGCGAAAACAAAGTGCAAACTATGTGCAGGAAAGTACAAACAACCTATCGTCTGCAAAGAGAACCTTTTTTCTAGTGCAGTAAAAACTACTGTAATAGGAATACAAAACAATTCAACAAGGAAGATTGAATTACAATACTCAAATGCGGCGCTAAATCAAATCAATTGCACGGAAATGCTGATATGCACCTGCGACGAGAAAATCAAATGAAGTCTTCAATATCTCACTTGGAAAGCAAAGCCGTGCAATGCGCAGTGTGCGGAAAGTACAACCGACTGTCACGCAATCACTGGGTCACCATAGTGAATCTGATGAGAGAGGTAATATGTGTAATTAGAGCAGTAAACTTTGGAACAAAGAAGACGTAGCAAGGCTCTATCATGCAAGATATGAAATGATCTACTAGTGTGAAAGCATTTTTACTGAGTGCATCATGGCTAATACCTAAAAACTGGTCAACCCTTAATCTGTAGAAGATCTCAACTTTGGAGACATGGTATACCAGGATGAAGTAGTGTAAAAAAAGAATGATTACTGAGCCTTGCAATAGCCAAAGAATGGTTGTGTAGCGCGAGGCAATGACGCAGAGGCTGAAGGCCACCCTGGCTCCTCTGTTCTCTCACCGCAATCAATGAGGACATTAGTGACCAATCGATGCGAACTCAAGGGTTCGTACCGCGTGGTTCGCGCTCGTCTTTCTGAAATTCCAGGGACTATCCGTTTGCTGATGGAGAGAAGAGGCGCGGTTGTCGGCTGCATGACCTTAGAAGCACTTGTAAGCTTCATATGTGGCAAGATGTAAATTTGTCCATGACGCAGTTTTCTTTTCCAAAATTTCATGATGTTTTATTTGAGGATGCTCGAGTAGGTAGCACTACATCTTCAGAATCAGTTCGCTTCTCCAACATCATAGTAGGTTTGTCGCATGTCCATCTTATGTAAAGTTCAGGCACAAATCTATCGAGATGCACTAGATCAAACCCCTGTAACAAATCTTATGATAAGATGTTTTATGAAAGTGCATGAGAGTAGTTGTAGGACAACTATCAGATTCACATATCTCCCGTCAACCTCGATGACTCATTGTAATGCATTGCTTTGATTGTGGACGGACGTTCAGCCTGCATCTCTCTTGCCGAACAAATATTTTGCGCCAGTTCACGAAAGAGACGTCAGTCATGCTTCCGCCCCGGCACCGGCATTGTGCGCCTTACGCTCGAAAATGGGGTAGGGAACTATATGTGGCCGAAAGTAGAAGGTCCCGCCGGACATCTGCGACAAATACACATTCCAATACATGACGGGCTGAGTATCTGCTGCACTGTCCGCGAGGGACCCTCTCACTTTAGGCGACATATAGTCCTCTACCCTCGAAAATGCTGAGGTTTGTCAGTTCAGAGTCTTGGCAACTAGCCAAAGTTCAACAACTTGGGGGGTGTAACCTTTGAAAATGGCTTGGCGGCTGGAAGGCGGGGCTTTGTGACCCAGTTAAGGCCGCTCGCGCCCGCTGCGCAGTCTGCGTCTCTCTCTCGCGCGTGCTCCCTGTTCATTATCTAGACTTTATTAGGTCACGAAGCGCCTTTCAGCCGCCAAGCCAGTTGAACCAAAGGGTAGTTTATTTTGACTCATAAATTACTACCATAGGGAAAAGGTAACTCAAGGTAAAGCATCCCCACTAAGCAAGGGCTCAAAGGCATGTCTGGTCGCAAAAACCATGTCTGACTTGAGTGGACCTATCCGCTACGCTGAGTTTGAAAATTCAGAAAGCGCGAAAATGGCGAGAACAGGCATTTTTTGAAGCCCTTCGACTTGAGTTTAAGTTTCGCAACTTCCCAAGCAGATTTCTTGCTTCGGTACAACGTTATGGGACTAGTCATATTTCGCCCAAAAGCGCTCAAAGCGCCCAAAAAGCACCCAGAAGCGCTGGAACGCCCATTTCGCTATAATAATTACTGGCTTTAGAGCGTATTTGCAAAATATTGTTCATTATCAAAGCAAATACTTTATTACAATTACATGAGAATGTCAATCACGGTTAATGTCAGCTCAAGTTTCACCATAACACTCTTTGCATTCCCAATGAGACTTAGGCGATTTGCAAGCATATCCAATTTTTTTCACCTAACTCAAGGTATCACACTAAACCGGTGAACGCTTTTACGGCTGTTGTGCATAATGGCTGTTTTTATTGCTTGATCTTTGCGACCGGACAGGTTTAAATTTTCTTCTGCAGAAATTTGATTACTCGATGGCATCTGACGTCATCATAAAGCTTTTCATTTTCGAGTTTTGAGATCCGCGAGTTGATTTTCTCGTATCAGTTAAACTGCTGGTCTAGTTTTCAAAATTAGGCTCCAGCGTTAAGAATTGCGCACGCGAAAAGAGGCGTTCTGGCGCGTTCTGGCGCTTTTCGGCGCTTTCGGGCATTTTCGAGCGCTTTTGAGTAAAGTATGACAGGTCCAATGATTCGCACTTGTGCGAGAAAGTGGAGGGCGCTCTTAACATGAAGTCGAACTTCCACATCTCAACCTAGCCTGGACATTGCGTTCAACGGACATGTATTGCCCAACCGACCTGCTATGTATCTCCGAACGCTAAAGTCAGAGCTGTTTTCAATGTCTGCCGATGGCAGTGAAGATTGGAGATATTGTGAGGCACCCTTTCAGTGTAGCTTCGCACGTAGATAACTGCTTTGAAAAATTCTCCAATTCATTGTATGTATGTCGGGTGAGGTGGGCAAGATTATGGAATGAATGATCGAGATTTATTTTTTTCTGATAGATCTTGAAATTGTTCAAAAATTCAAGCGTTATGGAAGAAATTCAAAGCAAGCTCATTCTCTCAAAGCTTATCAGTGCTGCTTTGTTGATTTCAAAATTCACTTTGACATTCACTTGT